AATTTTTAACCAGTGCATTTGTACTTTAAAACTTTAATAAATGTAAAATGTAATTTCTATTCACATGACTCAAACAAGGTTTAGAACCACATCTTTAAGAGTTATAACCTTTCACTTCTTAAATATGTCTAAAGGTATGGGCTATATTTTGTGTCCTTGGGGGTTGAGGATAGACCACATGGGGAAATCCTAATGTAAAAAGAAGCCCTATTGTTAGTCTTATATACATGGTGTTTGTACTTTACATGTTGTAACAAAGTTAAGGGATTGTGGTGTAATAGTGACACATGACAGTTGTGCTACTCTGAGATCTGAATCTATCTCAGAATAAACTAGGAGATTCAGGAGCAAAGCTGCTCTCTGATATAAAGGTTGAGCCACATTTTACTACCATTGTGAGTGTATTTCTATTTAAAGATGTACAACTAAATATATTTGTTGGATATTGGCCTTTAGCAAGTCTGGATGGATGGATGGATGGATAGATAGAAAGAAATCTCTGGTTGTAATATTGATATACAAATATCTCTGCCTCCATTTTTAGAATTCAGTCCCGCTTCAGAACTGTCAGGTGAATAATGCCAAGTTCACACTACATGATTTTAAGCCCGATTTGCAAGTCAACGAGCTCGCCGACAAGTCGGACTGTGATCGGGGGCAAATCAGCGGGTGATCAGCGCTCGGCAATCTTTATGTGTGAACTACTCAACGATGCATCAAAGAGGTTCGCTGATGCCAGACAAATATCTAACAAGAAAGATATCTGGACCTGTCAGCCGACTCGACATCCTGTGGTGTCAGGTGTAGCGACGAGCTACAGCCAATGAGAGCAAGGCATGGGTTGAGGTCAACGGAAGAAAACAGCAGCAGCAACATGGCTTTAAGAAAAGTGTGGACACAAGAAATGGAGCAAAATTTTCCAGAACAGATCATCGCGCCAACAGCTTGCAGTGCTAATTTCTTCCCAATGTCCTCTTGTTTCATGCGTTGTTTCACGTCATTCCCCATTCCCAAGTGTGTTTTTGTGACAAAACATGGTTTGGGGACCAGATAGAGTCGTTGGGTGACAGAGTTGTTGTCAGCTCGTGTAGTGTGTGACTCGTTGCGGATCATTACGTAGAGTCACGTATGAACATCACAAGTCGTGTAGTCTGAACTAGGCTTCAGGAAAAATTACAACAGTCATTCTCAAATTGCTCTGCAAGTCTTCTTCTATCGCACCTGATTCAGATCATTAGATTGTTACGAGAGAGCTCCATGAACTGTCTTCCCAATCGCACCTGTTACAAGAGAGCTCCGTAAAAGTGTGTCAGATAAGAAAAACATACAAAATGTGCAGATCGGTGGGTTACCAGGATTGACCACTACATTACAGTGATGCCACAGTTACAGAATCAACTCACTGTGTTACAATTTTAGACTCGCTTCATGAGAATGAGTGCTAAAAAGGACTGTTGACAAGGCATGTAGTCTTAGTGCTACAGATTTGTGCTAATATAACGAGTTCTGACCTATGGCCCTTGAGGTCCACTTTCCTTCAGAGTTTAACCAAAGCCACTGGAAGGCAAGCCTGCAACCTTTAGCCAAAAAAACGTAATGGCTAATACTAACGCTGCTGTTTTGGCAGTACGCAGGGAAGGAGACCAGAGGCCATTGTATGATTGGCTGAGGTACCTCACATGATCCAAGTTAGCCATCACAATTTTTCCAATGGCAAGTACTGCATACCCTCGCATCACATTTAACTCCAACCCTAATCTAACACACCTGAATCAAGGTCTTCGGGATTACTAGAAATTTACAGGCAGGTGAGTTTGATCAAGGTTAGAGCTAAATATTGCATGAAAAGTGGGAGTGTTGAGAACCATTGTACAATAACATTTTTAGAGAGTGTGATCGTGTCCCTCAGTTCTTCCTCAGTTCCTGATCTGGAGAACATTTGGTACCTCTGCCGCCAAGATTTCCAAGGATTGGTAAGCATGATGTGCTCACTTGGAGGAAGATCTGCCTGATTGTGAGTTTCATTAACAACCATTTGTAAAACTCTGGAACACAACAAATCACAGAAACCTTAAAGCACTTGACTTATGGCAACTTGTTTATTCTCAAATCAGTAAAAATCTGAACTCCTCCATAGCCATTTGGTGCCAGGTCACTCAAAAAGATGAACAATAGAGATCCTACCATTTTTCAAGTTTGGGGTGAAGAGTGCAGGCAAAATCAGGAGCTTCACAATGCCTTTGAGGCCACTTGCTTAGGGTTCCTTCTGTACAGTGTCATTATACAGTATACACTACACACAGCATACACACCAGAAAATACAATATTGCCAAAAGTTTTGGGATGTCTGCCTTTACATGCACATGATCTTTAATGACATCCCATTCTTAATCCGTAGGGTTTAATATGGAGTTGGACCACCTTTTGCAGCTATAACAGCTTCAATTCTTCTGGGAATGCATTCCACAAGGTTTAGGAGTGTGTTTATGGGAATTTTTGACCATTCTTCTAGAAGTGCATTTGTGAGGTCAGGCACTGATGTTGAACAAGAAGGCCTGGCTCGCAGTCTCCGCTCCAATTCATCCCAAAGGTGTTCTATCGGGTTGAGGTCAGGCCAATCAAGTTCCTCCACACCAAACTCGCTCAGCCATGTCTTTATGGACCTTGCTTTGTACACTGGTGCGCAGTCATGTTGGAACAGGAAGAGGCCATCCCAAACTGTTCCCACAAAGTTGGGAAAATAAAATTGCCTAAAATGTCTTGGTATGCTGAAGCATTAAGAGTTCCTTTCACTGGAACTAAGGGGCCAAGCCCAATCCCTGAAAAACAACCCCACACCATAATCCCCCCTCCATCAAACTTTACACTTGGCACAATGCAGTCAGGCAAGTACCGTTCTCCTGGCAACCACCAAACCCTGACTCATTTATCGGATTGCTAGACAGAGAAGCGTGATTCGTCACTCCAGAGTACACGTCTCCACTGCACTAGAGTCCAGTGGCAGCGTGCTTTACACCAGTTTCCGACACTTTGCATTGCACTTGGTGATGTAAGGCTTGGATGCAGCTGCTCGGCCATGGAAACCCATTCCATGAAGATCTCTACACACTCTTCTTGATCTAATCTGAAGGCCACACAAAGTTTGGAGGTCTGCAGCTATTGACTTTGCAGAACGTTGGTGACTTCTGCGCACTATGCGCCTCAGCATGCGCTGACCCCGCTCTGTGATTTTACGTGGCCTGTTGCTCCCAATTGCTTCCACTTTGTTATAATACCACTAACAGTTGACTGTGGAATATTTAGTAGTGAGGAAATTTTATGAATGGACTTATTGCACAGGTGGCAACCTATCACGGTACCACGCTTGAATTCACTGAGCTCCTGAGAGCGACCCATTCTTTCACAAATGTTTGTAGAAGCAGTCTGGATGCCAAGGTGCTTGATTTTTTTGATTGGAACACCTGAATTCAATGATTTGGAGGGGTGTCTCAATACTTTTGGCAATATAGTGTATGTATTCCAGAAATATATTCATGTCAGTTCTCAGAGATTGCCACACATGTGAACTGTTGGCCAATATTCTGGCATGCAATGTCAGATAGCACAAAAAGACATTAAATAATTTATTTCCCTTTCTTGATAATACATGCTTTCATATAAATTGGAGGAAATGACCTGTACATCTATGTACAATCAATGTTATTACCACCTGAAAGAAAACGTACAATACATATGAATGCATTATTTAAATAAGCAAAGTAAGTTTTTGGACTGTAAAGCTCAAATTAGCTGTTATTTATCAATTTCCCAATATATCAAACTAACATTTACTCACACAACAGCAATGATGTCATGAAGACAAAAAAGAACACAATTTTCTGTCAGACTAAGATATTTGTGAAGAACAGAGAATGAATGCTTGTCTATTAGACAGCTAACAACATGGAAAACTATATAGAGAACATGTCTATCTAAAGAAAGATGTACCGTTCGTAAGACTTCTTTTGAAAAGCAGATGCTTAGGGAATGTCACTCAAGCAGATGCTGTCAGACAGCTTAACAGAATTGAAAACAAAAAAGATAAAAGGTGTAATTTTCTGGGATCACTTAAGTACAAAGAACAAAGTGCAAGTGGCAATAATAACCACAAAACATTCCACATGTTTGAAGCCTAGTTTCTAACACATTATCTGGAAAGAGAAACACTACACACCATTGTGCTGCTTAAGCCAAAGAACGATTCGGAGCAAATAAGAGTCACTGTCTCCCATTTAAACAGCTAATAGTGTGGTAAGCTAAGAGAAGATTATCGTAGTAGAAATTTAAAAAAAAAAAATGATGCTACCAGATGACTCCTTTTTGTCCTTTTGAAAGTGTTTACAGTGTTTAACAAGTTTAGATTTTGAAACTCTCAAAAACTTTCAAAAACTTTGTCACCCTAAATTCAAAAAGAATAAAGAAAATGGAACCTATTTTAAGATTTTATTTTATTTATTTTTTGCACTGACAGTTTCATAAAATTAAGCAATTCTTTAATTCTCAATTCTTAGTAGCCAACTGGAAAAAAAAAAAACTATGTCTATGTAGAAAAAAGACTATATATGTAATATTAAATTAATAAAGCATAGTTGTCAAAGTGATAGCGTGCTCCCAAAAAATGAAAATCATCATTTACTCACCCTCATGTTCCAAAACTGTATGAGTTTGTTGAACATAAAAGATGATGTCTTGAAGAATGTTGGTAACCAAACAGTTGCTGGTAGCCATTGACTTCAATAGTACAGGGGGAAAAAATACTATGAAAGTCAATGGCTACCAGCAACTGTTTGGTTACCAACCTTCTTTAAAATATCTTTGTGTGCGGCAGAAGAAAGAAATTCATACAGGTTTGGAACAACATGAAGGTGAGTAAATGATGACAACATTTTCTTTTCTTGGGTGAACTACCCCTTTAAGTACACATGCTACACATCATACAAACAGAATGAGATTTTTTTTCCCTTAAATGACTGTATTAAGAATGTGTGTGAGGGGGTATTAAAACAACAACAAAAAATTGATGATCCTTAAATAGGTTTCATAGTGCATAAAGACAATGTAATTTTTTTTCCTAGCGATTTTGGGGTAAAATATGACCCCGACTTTTCGTTGTGAGATTCTCCCTTGCATCCAACATAAGACGTCATGACGTAACCAGCACAAGTCACATCATTTTGAATTTCAAGAGTTCAGTTGTGATGGACATGTTTAAAACTGAATAATGTGAAAAACCAATGGTGCAGTAATCATGTTCCCCAAAAGACACTACACCATCTCATTCCTAAAACAGATGATCATATGATATTATTAAACTATGACATGAAGGCACTACAAGGACGTTTGATAGTGGAGTGAGAAGAAACCCATCTAGTTAAATGTACTCCAGCAGGAGCTGTGCGTCTCCAGTTTTGCGGCTTTGAGATACAAGTCTCGATGACTCCAGTTACAGTAAACGTCACACACAAGTGCTGCTGAGAAAAAAGCTCCAGTCTTCCTCTGATACTTCATTTGGGGATTAGACTTCTGCTACCACAGCCTTTAATTGTCTGCCACCGAGACACCAAGACTGCTTTAAACAAAAGCATAAATGGCAAAACCGAAAAACTGGTCTCAAATGGTCTTGACGAGCATTAACACACTAATAAAACAAAGCCAGCACACATATTGTAGGCGGATAGGCCAGAACGAATATCGATTTTGATGTAATGCAGGCCACCAGAGTAAATTTCATAGAACATAGCTCACTCTTCCCCCAAGCGCCATTTCTGGGACTCTTCTTGACGTGCATCTGGGTGAATCTGGTTCCTCATGCCGCCCAGCACATTGGATGTTGCTTCTGTGGCAACGATAAGAGGTTTAACGACAGCTGGAGGAAGTTGTCGCAGAACTCCACCCACAGCACCTGTCATGCCCCTCTGCTCATGCTCACGTGTCGCAGTGTCATAAATGGTCAGGGCTGTGTCAGTAATGCCCTACAAACACACAATGCATTAAAACTATTTATAACAGTATACACCACATGTCAGTCACTCTTAAAGGGACAGTTCATCCAAAAAATTACATTCTGGTTTCATTTACTTGCCCTCATGTTGTTCCAAACCCATAAGAATCTTTAAACCACAAATTAACACATTTTTAACAAAACTTGAGATATTTCTGTCTCTCTATTGAAAGTCAATTCCACCAAAATTTTGATGCTTAAAGTTCATGAAGTCATCGTAAAAGTAATCCATTGGAATCAAGCAGTTTATTCCAACTTTTCAGAAGAGACATGATTGCTTTATATGATGACCAGATTTAATTTAGGCTTCCATTGACATACTTATTGGTTCTCGCACATCAATCAAGCATGTTTGAGCTTTTGTTTACCATATTTGATGTGCTCTATGTATGTGCATTGATCTATGTTTATATGCGAATAAAAGCACAAAATTAAACCTGTTCAACATATAACGCGATCAAACTGTTCGGATTACATGGATTACTTTTACAATGTCTTTGAAGCTTGAAAGTTGTGGTTGAATGAACATTCAATGGAGGGAGAGAAATCTCTCAGGTTTCACTAAAAGTACCTTCATTTGTGTTTCGAAGACATGAGGGTGAGTAAATGACAGTTGTCAATTTTGGGTGAACTACCAACTTGAACTGGCATTCACATCCCATTTCTATAATATGAAGCATTTCAGAATGGTATTATTGAAAATGCTGATGGATTCTGCAATTGGGAACATGCTTTAAGAAAGTAAATCAGTTTTGATTTCATGTTAACTTGCTAGGATTAAACGTACAGGGCCCATATATATATATATTATGTCTACGACACAACGTGCTCATACCTCTTTTACTACGCTGTATGCCTTGGCCACCCCCTCTCTCAGGTCCACTGGCTGATGGGCCAGACAGTAATGTGAGTACCGTTTAATCTTTTTGCATTCTTTCTCATCTGGCACTGGAGACACCATGTCGTAAGCCGTTTCAGCAGCAGCCTACACAAAGCACATAGAACAGATCAGAAATCATTTGTTCATATACGGATAAGTAGAACAAATTAATTTTAATGTGATTGGTATGATTAATATGTCTCTGTTTGCCATTGTCATGGTACAAAATACCTCTTTAGGAGACACTTTTGCAATTATTTTTATCGACACTTTTTTTTATTTTAAAATCACTTTACCTGTATGGTTCGCACCATCCGATTGGTGAGCTCCAGAGCTGCCATTGCGGTGGAGGTTCCGAAGGAGGCGGTGCCTCGCTGAAAGCCACGAACTATTCTTCCATCCTTACGGTACTGCTCAATGGGCAGCCAAACCAGATCCCTAAAACCCTGAACTGTAGCAGCAACAGGAGAAAAACACTGCTTAACACTGATCATGTAAATAAAGTCGTCACCTCTCAGAGACATCAATATCAATATTTGGTCAATAGCACTTTACAAAAGAACTACTTTTTATTCAGTTGTGGGTGAAACAAAGTGTGTAAGAATGTGTTGTGCTAACCTAGCTGCACCAGGGAATGAATGGGCCCCACACCTCCCAAAAGCCCTGGCAACTGGTTCTTCTTTATGTCATTCAGCCATTCATTAATGGCATATGAATAGAGCTTGTCAACACCCCGTAATCTGGAAAAAAATAAACAAATAAATAATCTGGCTCAAATTTGTGAGGCGAGCATAATAAATTTTTTTGAAAAGTTATATATTCCTACCCTTGTCTGTAACACAGGCGCCGTAATTTAAGCTCCGAGCAATTCAGTTGTGTGAGTCCAATAACAATACCAGCAAATGTGCCCTGAGGAATAAGACAAACATTATATCCACTTATTATATCATGATGATTTTATTGAGCAGTTACTAAGAGCAAATGAAATCTACAAGCTTGTTTTGTAGCAAAATATGTTACTTCACCCTTTTATTTAGATTAAAACACAATTTATTACAACAAACAGTACAGTTCAGTTTTCAGAGTCAAGAGAAAAAACTGTGGTTTACTAACTCAGTCCTTGATTCATACTGCATGTTCATTTGCATATTGTCAATAAAGAAGACACAATAAAACGTTTTTGCTGACAAATCACTGCTGATATATTGCTTCACTGTGCTTGTTACATAATTCACAAATTCAACATACGTAAAAACACTTGGGCCAAAAGTATTTTATATCAGATTAATTTAATAAGGAATTAATTCTATATGAAATATGACGTTTACCAAAAACATAAGATAATTTTTTGACATTTGGATTCTGTGGATAGCTCACCTGCTCCATGGCCATGTGTTTTCCATGGTAGTCTAATCGAATTGGCACCTCTGAAGTGAATCTGAACTCTCTGGAAAATGACATGTGTAAAATAAGTTCTGGTTTACAGTTACTAATGAACTTATACCTAAAGAATTTGAAATGTTAAAATGTAGATTGCTGTAGATCAGGGGTGTCCGATCCTGCTTCTGGAGGCCCAACTTCCAGGATAGTTTAGTTGTAGCCCAAATTAAACCCACAACGTCACCAGGATCACTAAAAACTTCCAGGCAGGTGTTTTGGAGCTAAACTCTAGAGGAAAGAGGCCCTCCAGGAGCACTACTGGACACCTCTGTTGTAGATGGTTAGGAATACTGTCACTTCCTCTCACACACCTGAAGAATATGGGCTGGTCGGTGAAAGATGTGGAGGCAGTGTCTGTCTCAGCAGTGCTGTCTTGGCTGCAGGTGTGGACGGGGCTTGGACTGGCACGGCTTTGTGTTGGCACTGAGATGATGGGCGCAGGGTCTTGACCCGCTGCACCGTTGTACTTGGAAAAATTGCACGAAATCTCAGGGGCAGGAGGCTTCTTCACTGACACATAGAACGCTACAACACAGATCAATAAATAGTTAAGCAGATGAAACAATTGCTTGCAGCAAATAATATCTGTTGCAAGATCTAGTGAGCAGCCTTGCCGTCTACTGCCTACATATGAGCATCAAAAAAACAGCGCTCCTCGTCAGAAGTGCATAGGAAACTCAACTTGGCCAACTCGACCACTGATTTCAATAGAGATTTATGTAAGCATATGCTATGCTAACGGCATGATAATATAAAAAAAACAAACCACAAAAGTGTTGGGTAAAATATTACATTTTTAATTCAGTTGGTTTATTTATCTAAGATTTTCAGTATTTAATTAAATATACTGACAGTCGACTTTTCTTGAAATCATTTAGTTTTCTATAGGTGCATTCTTGCCATGTCAGAATTTCCATAGTTACGCGACTTTGACTTGTAAAAAGTGTTTGTAAAACTAGTAATTACAAATTGTAAACTTTTAATTTTTTGACCACCTAACACCACCTAACTGCTTCAAGGTCATGCAGAAACACTCTAAATTGCAGCAGTTTCAAGAGTAAAATATAGTTATCTTGTAATATTTTTGTTTAATAATTCCTATAATTGAGTATTATTCATCTTTTAAAAATGCAAGAATAAACTGAAAAACAAAATACAATAGAGTTTAATGTAGGTAACACAGCTGAATAAATATCTAACATCCTGCTAAACAACTACAAGTTTATTAATAAGGGATTTGCATAACTATATTTGTTACTTATTGTATTGTAGTTTTGTGTATTGATTACTGCCACTGAAACTTATAAATTCAAGTCCACAGACATGAACAGCTATTAGTAGTAGTAATTCTGGTAATTACGACATGAGGAGAATGCCGAATATTTCCTTTTGGAACGGTCTTTGTGTCAAGAGTGCTTCTCCTCAATGTTGTCTAGGTAGGCAGCTCACTCACAGAGTTTGAAACAATGTTTTTTAAGGTTCTCAGAGTATTTTGCATATTGATTATTACCTTCCTGCTCTGGTGGGGAAAAGAGCTCAACCTCTGCTGCCAGACTGGTGAAGAAGTCCTTCAGGAAGAACAATGCATCCTGTACACAAGATGAAAATGAGGGGCTCCTGACATTTAGTCATCAGTTTGAACTATGCTTTTAAAAATATGATTCAAGGTGAGCTGTTGAACGGTTTTGTTCTGTACCTGATCAATGTTTAGCCGGAGGGGCATTAGTGACACACGTAGACAGCACTCCTGAGGCGCCTGTCCAGTTTCTGGACACATGTGCAGGGCTCTGACAGTCAACTGATACACACAGACAACAAATGCCCATTTCAAACAGCATCATTTGATACTTTAGAAACCATACACACCACCTGTAGATTATGTACATCATTATCTGTCTGTGTGTATTTGATCATACCATGTTGGAGTGAGCTTTCCTGGGCATCTCTTTACTGGAGTATAGATAGAGGAACTTGTTCATCATGGAAGAGGCCAGCCTGTCTCGTATCTCCAGATCCTGCACTGAGAACACCTGTCTGGACACCAGCTGCTCCTTCAAAACGCCTGCCTCTGGAGCCTTCTGAGGATACACCTCATGCTGGAACCGCACCTAATATAAGACATGAAGGATCGTAGAGTATTTGAGTTTACTGTATTGGATTATTGGATGGTTTACTGCTGAATATTCTTACAAAAGAGTCAGTGTTGATATCACTCAAATCAAAAAGCATGCAAACAAACAAACCCCTAAAACCATTAAAACCTTTCTGCGCCTATAAGGACGTTTTTAAGGCCTTATTTTACGGAAAGGTGAATTAAAACCTGCAGAAACCCTGCTAAAAGTGAAACTAATAGGAAACTAATAACTAAACTCAAAGATGACAAGCACATAAAATAACAAAAAAATTACTAAAAACTAAAACTGAACATATAAAAAAACTAATTAGAAATATTAGTGAAAACTTTAACAGTAGTGTATAAATGATACTAAAATAACACTGCACCAAGTTAATATATTGTGTATGCAGGCTGATGATTAAAATGATAAAATGTTTCTCTGACCTTACTGAGTTGAATCTCCATCAGAACATCAGGGTTTCTGCCCCATCCTCCTCCAGCACGGGAGCCTCTTCTCACCTGTTTTACAGGAGTCTGTGATGGAGAGCTGTGAGGAGTGCACCTACATACACACAAACATGCTCTCTTAATACACACTTATAACATGCAGTTTTTATAAGAAGCATGATTTTGAATCAGGAGTGGCCCAACTCCAAATATGCACCCTCGACTGCGAGCTGGGGATGAGGACAATGCGCCTCCACAGAAGTCTTTTCCTCCATAGAGGTGCCACACTACAGAGATCTCTTTGATCAGGTATCTGATTTCCGGCACAGGGAAGTGAAGCGGACCCCTATTAGAGCTGCTGCCCTCCAGAGAGACACTGAAATGTTCTTCCCTCACAAGGATGGGTTCAGAGATCAGCTTCTTTACCACAGGCTCCTCATCCTTTTCCTAACAGACAAAACACTTTCATCAAGTGCTGCATACACTAATTAAGATTTTTATTTTGAGGAACAGAAATTCAGTCAGTTCCTCACACAAAGGTATTGTAAAGCTTCAAAAGAATTAGAGCAGTGCATCTGTAATGCTTTTATTTGTGTAAAAGTTTCACTGCCTGAAATATTTATGAAGTGAAGAGCTCACCGGTACTCTGGAGCCCGGCGTGTCCAGGATGCAGAAGTCATCAGTGTCGTGGAGCAAAGAGGGGGCAGGAGGAGAGATGAGTGGGGAGTGCAGGGTTGGGTAAGTGGGGTTTGGTTCCTGCCCCAGGTTTCCGCTCTCATCAGGGAAAAGGAAGAGATCAGATCGGGGCGGCTCATGATCATGTGAATGGTCTTCGTTGACACCTATACAAAAGACAGGCAGATTCAAACGTGAGAAGTGTTATTTTAGTATTATTTTTATACTATTATAGTATTTATTAATATTTTCAATTAGCTTTTGTTTTTATATTTTCATTTTAGTTTTTGTAATTTTGTTATGTGCTTTTGTCATTTTCTAAAATACTTTATTTAAATAATTATTTTTTTTAATTCTATTCAGCTTTAGTTTATTTTTATTTCAGTTTAATTCATTTAAGTACTTCAACTTATTATGTTTTAACTACTTATCATTTAAGTTTATGTATTATTTATCTATTATTTTATTTCAGCTTTATTTTAATTAACAAAAACAATTTTTAATAGGTTTTGTTTTAGGGTGTGTTCACACTTGTAGTTCAGTTCGTTTGGTTCATTTGGTCCGGACCAAAAAGGAAAATGATACATTCGCTTAGCGTTCACATTGGCATTTTTGACAGCGAACCTAAAGACACCGAACCTAAAGGCATAGTGATACGTTCACAACCTGATTGGTCGGCTTGAATGACGTATATATCGTGACGGAACTCACTGAACACCCCAAACAAAAGGTGCGTTAGACTTAAAGCGCTTTAAGTCGAACACACCCTAATGCGTCTGCTGGACAAAGCGCGCTCATCCTCATTCTTGCGTGTACATATAATTTTATTTTCACCACCTGCAAACTCACAAGGAGCTCATAAAAGGCACTTTACCTCATCGTTGCTCCACGTTTGCCCTCTGCTCATCTTGTCATTACTTCCTGTTTTTGGTTCGTTTAGAAGTAAGTGGTCCGTGTTGCGTTCATATATCATTCGAACCGCACCAGAGTT